TTATTTAAATCAATTGTACTTACAAATGCGATATTGTATAAGAAATGCCCTTAATATAAATATTGACAATGGGAGGGATATTTCGAAAAAAATGCATTATGTAATTTTTGAAAAGTCAAAAGGCTGCATCAAAGTGGCATTTATGTCAAGTTATTCAATGCATTTAGCAATATCTGTAAATAAAAAAATTGGAACAGTTTAAAAAAAGGCGTTTGAACGTTACTAAAATTTCGCGAGTTTGAGCTCATTTTCACCGAAAACGTTCCCGAGTTTTCAAGAAACTGCGAAAGAAATCATTTGAAGTTCTTCTTCTCCCAAATGCAATAAAGTATAAAAACGGCAGTATTGCAAGTATTAACGTCGTGAAATTGTTTAAAAAATACAATTGTGTAGTTTTTTGAAAAATATAATTGCGTCAAAATTACGTTTATATCATGTTATTTAGTGCATTTGGCACTATCTGTAGAAAAAGTTTAAAGAAAAAATTTGGAGCCGTTTTTAAGAAAATATTGTTTTTAATATTTTTTAATATTGCCTATATTTCACAGACTACTAATACTATCAATAAACATAATATTAATTAAACGACTAATTGTGGAAAAGAATTTCATTTGAAAAAAATAGCTATCTTTAATACTGTAGTTTAAGAAAGACGCCGAAAAAAGGCAAACGTTTTTAAAATTCAGATAACAGGGAAAATTGGATCTACACACACTTTGTAAGTGTACTTCATTCTATTCTTACAAGATATTTAAAGATAAAAAGGGACTCGTTTTTGCGAACATTTTGAATATGTACCAAGGGTTTCAAAGAGTTGCGTTGAAACAGGGAAATCAAGTTTCCGCATCATTACGTAACTTTCTCTGTACTACATATGTTACTCTTCATGTACGTAGGTATACGAGAAGTAAAAGCATTGGTATTTTGAAATGCAGGTCACTTAACTTGTTCTCACATTATTGAAGTATTTATATATTATTAAGATAAACTTATCTGGTTTAATTTACTCTTTAATATCCAATGTTTAAACTCATTTGCATGCCAGTCAGAAACTCAAATTTCTTTGAATTGCTAGTAATTCTGATTTGATCTTGAATTATTTCAATATCGCTTGCTATTGATTTTTAAAATTAATATTGAAAATAACTATTTAAAAGATATGCAACATTTCGTTTTTGTTGATCCATATCTTCACACTATTACATCCTTCATCAACGTGTATGATTCGAAATAAAACCACATAATTCGATTAAGATCGAAAGGAATCAGAGTGAACTTAAATTGAAAATGATATTTCTTTCGGCGTAGGAAACAATTTTTGATTGTTTATTATTTTACGTATATACTCCGGCATCTGAGCGAAATACCAACGTGTCACAGACTTTTGCGTGTTGTTTTCATATTTGAATGGCAAATCATTTATTGCGATTTACATCACAGCCAATGCTTGAATTGTCAGATATGTTGCAAGAGTTTGATCGTTGTGAGATATCTCGATCATTACATATACTTGAGTACTGAAAACCAGAAAATAGTAGCGCCAGTGGTTCTCCCTCATTTTCAAACATACTTCTCCGCCATACGTTACATATATATTTTACTGTTTTTTGACGATAAATTATTTTATCAAATCAATCAGAAGAATCAATGGGTGATATTACTTTATTATTATTATTATTATTATTATTATTATTATTATTATTATTATTATTATTATTATTATTTTTATTGATGCTTCTTGAATATTCTAGAAGAGAGCGCCATTATGATATTCAAATACTGTTTGTTAATAAAAGGTAAGATGCTTTGTGTTATTATTTTGCCATTACTGATCAGAGTGCATAGATCTACCATTCTTCCATTATCTCATTAGGGGTCGTTCATAAATTACGTAACTCGAAAAAAGGGGGAAGGGGGTCTGAAAGAGCGTTTCTCTACGTAACGTAGGGGTAGCGGGTATTAGTTAAGTGTTATTATTTTTTATCAACATTAATTTTTAAAAAATATCATTGATATTAATTTTTTTCAATTTTTTTTTCATTTGCTGAAATGATTCCTTTTTTTAATCCTGCAGTAAAACATTAAAATATTAACTAAATAATTGGTTAAATCATAAATAAACTTAAGTTATTAGTTATTAAATGGAAATACTTTTCAAAATTGTTGAATATTTAAGATTATGAAGAACGTATCAAAACTGATATGAAGTATACTCTGTAATCCATTTAAATTGGCGCAGTATACTCGAACTCGCTCATGCCTCATCCACGATGGCCGCGTGTGCACAGCTTGTCATCATCCATTTCTAACCCGACCATTCTTTCTTGACTCACAACTTGCCTCAATCTTTTTTTTAGGTGCAACCAGGGTCGCCAACTAATGTCTACTTTACCATTAATTTTAATATTTAACACAAGTCAAATAAATACAAATTACGGCGCTATAATTTATTTTCACATCTTGCAGGTAGGGGGTGTTGCTGCAAGTGTTACGTAATTGTTTAGGGGGAGGTCAAGCGCGTGTTGCGGGTGCGTTAGAAGGGGGAGAGGCGAATTGAAAATGCTCCAAATTCGTGTTATGTATATTATGGACGGCCCTTACTTAGATCCACCAAGTATTAGGTCTAATGATAAAAGACAAGAGCGTTGGTTGAAATGGTTGAATATTTCAGAGACACGTGTTTTGCATCCTTAATTGAACAGCTCCTCATGGCTTCCACGAAACACTTAAGATACCAATAAACGCAATTCCACCATAAGGAGCCGCAGTGGAGCGTGGGCGCAACGCCGTAGTCATGTGTTCCCAGAAGCTCGCTTTTATTGCTCCACGTCACGAGTGGTGTAGTTCTTCGTGGGTGAAAGGCGGAAAGTGAGCTGTTGCTTTGACGACTGCGTTATCATCTCTTTTGGAAGCTTATTCGTTTCCGTTCTGTTGTGCATTGTGCACGCGTTTTTCGTTAATTGACTTACGTCCCATCTATTGTATCATCCAACCTAATAATTCATCAAGTGTGGGGAATGGGCCCATTGATAGGGTTACCATACGTCCTCTTTTCCCCGGATATGTTATTTTTTGAAGTAAGAAAAACTGTCCTGGTAGATTTTGCAAGAAAGGATGAAATGTCCTCTTTTTTGGAGAGGGAAACTACTGATATACGAAGTATACTGCACTTCGTTCAATCTTTCAGAGTCCCCTGAATCATAGCATGTCGTATGACATTTAACTTCAAGTATATCGTCTAACAATCACCAAAACCATTAGAAAATGATACCACATTTACGTTCTTTAGTCCATGAAATGCGACAGTGCTGCCATCAACTGGTACAACATATTGTGCATCATTGTATACTGCTGCTGGTTATAGATTATGTGCTCTGATGTGTTAATACTGATGTTGGCGCTACGAAGTTGATACCATTAATAGTATCATCAACATTTCAGTCTCCAAGTCTTGTGTGCCGCTCTGAACTCCTAAAAATAGGCGAATTTTCTCTTGCAATCCCTAGTCACAATGTTAACACAGATCGCATCTTCTCTCCTATAAAAGCACATGGTCTAAAGACAGGCGCAGGTTTAAGATATTTAAAGTATAACGTGTGTTCAATACAACTTTAAGCATCTAACCTGTGTGAGTTTCTGTGACTTCTTATTGGGAAATTTAAAAAAAAAATATTGAGGGAGATTTAATCATCCACCAAATGCTTTTGGTATAAAAGGGGAAAATAGAGTAATGATGGTGAAGTAGGCTTATTTTATGATTGTGAAAGCGATGACAAGGACCGAGGTATTTATTTTGTCAGTATTATTTTGTCTTTAAGATAAATTGTAAGAACATTGCATTAGAAGTGTTCTCTTTTTCGTAAGAAATGCCCTCCTTTCCCACAGTTGTGGAACGGTGAACCCCACCCATCGAGCGCGTGGTGTGCTCCTTCGCTTCGCGGGGCGCGCGGTGCGGTTTCATCTCGCTATTACAAATCCGCGCGTCCGTCGCCGCCCCATCCAGCGCATCTGTTATCAGGGACCCCAAACGACGTCTGCGGCTCCTCGCGGTCGATAAAGGAAGAGCGAGTTCTTCGGCGGCGGGCGCTGGCCGTGTCGAAACACTCCACGCCCGCCGCCCCGCCCGCCCCGCCCGCGCCCGCCCCGCCCCCCGCCCGCCGCGCCCGGTTGGGCATTTTCGGGCGATGGGCGAAGCGATAGAGCGGCTTCTCCGCGTGAAGAAAAAAAAAACAACATCGCCCGCGGTGCGCGCGTCCGGGACGGCGCGGCGGACAGCTCTTCCGCGTTTCACGGGCGGCGGGCGCGCCGCCTAGGAAGGCCGTCGTTATAGAGGCCCATCCAGCAGGGGCGGTCGGAATTCGCCTCAGACGGTTTGAGAATGCGGGGCGGGGAGGGCGGGGCGGGGCGGGCGGGGAGGGGCGGTCCGCAGCGGATCAATGGCTCGCGCCGAGCGACCCGCCCCCGCCTCCCCGCCCCGGCGTCCGCCCCCGGCGCTCGCCGCGCGCGCGCCGCGCTGTCTTCAGGGCGCAGCCGGGACTATCGGAATGCTGTTGGCAACGTTCGCGCCGCGCGTTTGGCGGCCGTGCGGCGCCGGCGGCGGTGGCTCCGAGGTGCGCGGCGAAGTGGAGTGCAGCCAGCCAGGCAGCCAGCCCGCGGAGGAGGGGGAGGGAGGGAGAGAGTGGTGCGGAGCGGAGGCGAGCGATGGGCAGTCGGCGCGCGGAGCCGCAGCGAGGCAGTGCGAGTGGCGGCGCGGGCTGTGCGGTGCGGAGCGCGTGAGTGGTGCTCGACGCGACGCGACGCGACGCGACGGTCGGAGCGCCGGGCTGGGACGGGACCGCCACCACTCGCCAACGCTGCTCCTGCTCTGCCCGCCCGCGTCCACCCGGCCAGGCCGGGCCCAGCTGCCTTCCCGCCGCCATGCCGAGTGCGGTGAAGTAGCGGAGCGTTGAGCCGCTAGCGCTCCCGGTCGCGCGTCGCCCCCCCCCCACCACACCACCCACCCCCGCCCCACACCCCCGCGGAGCGCGGGCGCCGCCGAGGCGCGCGCGTGTGCGAGTGATGCTGAAGATGAATGTGATGTGTGTGCTTGTGCTGGCGACAGTGGGGCAGGCGGCCCATTACACGCACCAGTGGGCGGTGGGCATCGACGGCGGCGCGACGCGCGCCGACGAGATCGCCAGCGACACGGGTTCACCAACCTCGGCCTGGTAAGTGAAGGCGTCGCGCGCGCGGCGCGGAGCGGCGCGGCGCAGCGCGGCCGGCGTGACAGTTCCGTTATCCCGCCCGCCGTCACTTGCCCGCCGCCCGACGCACCCGGGGCGTCCGCCCCAGCCACAAGTCACCCCACGCGGTGCGGCGTGCCTGGTGGCGTGGCCGGCCGCGCGCCGCCCTCGTGGTGCCCCTGACCGCGCGGGCGGTGGGCGGTAGCGGGCGGGCGGTGCGGCCGAGGGCTGGCCACCGCCTCCGCCCGACATCCTGGTCCCCCGCCGGCGGCGGCGAGTAACCTTCGCGGCGCGGCGCCGTGTATCCGCGAGGTGAGGTGAGGTGAGGTGAGGCGAGGCGGGCTTGGCTTTCTAATTGACCTGTGGAAGAACCGCCGAGGGCGCGCACGCGCCGCAAAGGGCAGAGTTCACCGGCGCTGGCTGCAGCTGCGCTTGTTTTCACGCTTCGCCCGATGAGGCGAGTACGAGAGGCAAATACAGCTATTGTCCAGTATTATTTACCCTGTCCACAAAGATAAGCTTGTATCATTTTCATTTCGTATGAACGTGTTCTGGGACTACTTGCTCAAACATCTCTTTTTCTATTTGATTGTGGAGGGTAAATATTCCAACAATACTATTTGTCATCGTGTAAATCTTCTATACCTAATTCTCCCCACAAATTAAATGCAGTCTACAGATATCGCTAGTGTCAATATTTATCAAATAACACGCTCTTCCTTACTCATCAATGACTAACAAATATTCCACAAAGCGAAATAACATTTCCGCTGCCTGCCACACTACTCTACACGACGTAGAGCGGTGCGGCACTTTCTTCTGGAAGAAAAGCGACAGCGAAGTTGCAGCAAAAACTACGACCGTGTTTTTCCAGCTCCCTCCCGCCCCTCTCCTCCCCGTCGGCGTCCGGAGCTGCGGGTGGCGCGGCGCAGCGTGGTCGTGTGTTGCTCAGGCGCTGCGCAGGCGACTCGAAGTGGGGAACGGCCACAGCATCCAGGGCTCTAGGGCCCTTCCGGTGGCGTAGTTGAACCCGGGTTAAAAATGAGAAATTATTGTGCGAAAACGTTCCGTTTTCTTACGAAACGGTACATTTCCCTCTGATCATAATGATGGAATTTTGAGACAATAGAGGGGAAATTGATGGACATGAAGAATGGTAAACATGGTGTCATATGGTGAAGAGCATGGTGATAATGGCAATAATAATACTGATAATAATGGTGATAATGATGATGATGATGATAATAATAATAATAATAATAATAATAATAATAATAAATGTTTTGAATGTATTTAAACTTAGTAGTTAAACTTAGTATGCTGGCATTATTTGTACCTCAACAAATTACCGTTCTGAAATGGCTACCACTTTTATTTTAAAAATTGCAGTTCGTTTATATACGATTCTTCCTAAAGGATGGGATACTTTGTAACATTTAATTTAATCTGATTTTTTAAAAGTGATTTTGATTTCTCAAGCATGAAGTTGCTCTTAATGCTGAGGGAAGGGTTTGTTTTTTTTGTTGTTTTTGAAGAAAATCATTTGTCCTGCGATAAGGAACTTCCTCTCCGAAATCAATCAGAATAATGTAGAAAAATGTAAAAGTAATATATTTTTAAGTGTAGAAGAGTTGCTGATAACCTGTCATTGCCTGAATGTTTATTTGTTGCTGTGCCTGCCCCTTCTGCTATTCCTCTCCGCCTGATTCTCCCACCGCGCCCCTACCACTCTGCTCGTTCTGCCGTTCCCACTCGCCCCTCCCCCGCCTTCACCCCGCATCACGCAGGAATTACAGCAACCGTACCTCTCACAAGCAATAAACTATATTGCACGAAATAAAAAAAACACAATTTGGAGTAGAATTTTTGAATTTACTCCCTATGTTTATTCTCAACCGTTTAAAAGTTTTTTTAAGAATTTGGAAGCAATCGCGTCAGTTGTTCGACATTTTTAATGGACCTTACGCACACCCGCATTAGAATAATATATTTATATTTTCACATTTTGGTTCTGATTGCTGTTCTCTTATTTCCTTCCCATTCAGAATTTCGTTTTAATTAGATAATAGGACCTCTACCAAGACAGACATTGACCAGTTCGCAGCGAATCGGTGAACTCCCGATTGTCGAGATTCGTAGAGCCGCGCAAGACAACTGAGAAATTCAAGACGACTGAAGAGCCAGTTACTAGCGGAGTTCTGCGATTGACGTGTGCAAAGTTCATGCGTGTGAAGATGTGATACATGAATATAAATCGACAGCGGATCGCAAAGATCGTTGTGTCTGAAATAGGCATTTAAAACGCTAGCAGGCCCGGCGGATAATGTGGAGTGGTGGGTAGGTACACCACCACGAAAATTCTGAGTGGGTATAATTCTCAATAGGAATTTGCGGTGAGAGAAAAATTAAATAAATGTCAAGTTCAAAATTCAAAGTTTCTCTGTATTGCATTGACGCAAAGCCTGTACGCGATCAACTACGTTGCAAAATCAACTGCGATTTTACATGTTTACGATACAACAGTATTGCGATTTTACATGTTTGTAGCGACATGTCCGAGAAAATCAACTTGCAAAAATTGTTAAATGAGTTTAAATAAAAAAATGCAAAGCGCAGCCCTGCTTTTGCATTACAAAAATGAACTACTGAAGTTACATAAAATAAATGTGATAACAATTTCATGTCAAATGATTGATAAATATGACAATTTGAAAAAACAATATATGTTTTGTAATTTTTCCTTCATATACATTTTTGGCGGGGTTGGAGGGAGTTGGATGGACTCCCTCCTCCCCCTCGGGTCAATTGCCCACTCAGACTCGCCAATCGCCGAGCCTGAATACTGGTATAAAAGGGTAGTCGATATCCCCAACATATTATGTTCCTTCCAAATCGATATTGAACAGATTTCTGCAAATATTAACAGAAAGTTACGTAAGTAATATAAATGCTTACAAATTCAATAGTAAGGCCGTTTATTGTGTTTGAATCGAGAAAACGATTCAACCTTTTTCTGAAATCTTTTAATAATTATTTTATTTTCATAATTAATTTTCTAATATTTAAGTTGGCTCACCTAGATTATTGTACCTTGGTTCTAAACAATATCCAATGGGGGGGGGGACATGTAAAATTAAAACGCTACCATGTAAATTCGAATGGAATCAGTATCCCATATATATGGTTTTGGATTTATTTTTGTGTGGTTGTAGCGAATTCAGGATTTGTGTTTCACGCCGTGACATCTGTGCTTTCAAAATGACCGACTTCTATTAGATTGAGAGAGTTAAAAATATTTAGAAGTTATTAATGTGAAATTACACGTTCTGGATTCAGAATTAAGACATTTCTGCGTTACGAAGCTTTATTTTCACATGACATTTTATTTTCGACTTTTAAGTCAGATTTACAGTTTAACTTCCGACTGGCAATTCAGATAGTTTTTTGGTTGATACGTATTTTTGTTGGTTGTAGAAAGGACCGACTTTGGCATGGCGGATTTTTTTGCGTTGGTTTCGTTTATTTTTATACTTTCTTCCTTTTTGTTGGGCTATTTTGTATTTGTTTTTTTAATACGTTTTTAGCGGTTTCTATGGGTGGATATTCGAAATTGATTCGCTTTCGTGGATAGATTCAAAAGTATCTTCAAACCAACAAGCAAATTGCAAATATCCAGATAAATTAACAGTTTCAAAAAACACATTTAAAATCGAAACTTGTTTTGGAATTTTTGGCAACAAACTTCTGTACTACTTATCGAAAAAAAATTAAAACCTCAAATATATATAAACATAAATAAACTAAGTTTAATGATTGAAAATACGTTAACAACGAATTAATAGATACATCAAAATGTTTACATTTACAATTATAGATAAAAGATAGAAAGTTTTCAAATTGATCGAGTGTATTCCTATACAATCAGGGAATCATACTAACTAAAAACAGAAATGGCAATCAACATAGGGCTAGACTAATGTACTTCATTTGTCATCATGATTGTGAATTTCAAAATATCCCTTATGCACACCATACTTCGTGGTTTAACTTATTTACAGGAATAAAATATTGTAGTATGTAAGGCTACAGGGCCCCTTACAAACTTTTTGGGGGGACCAACTGTCCTCTGCTCCCCCCCCCGGCTGTGCGCACGCCCATGTTCTTGGGGTTTCGATAATTTTCATTGGGTTTCAATTAAGTTGGAAGTTTCGAAACTTCTTGTAACTTTTAAAAATCCAAGGAAAGCTTCAGGCAACTTTTAAAAATCCAAGGAGAAATTTGGACCATGGTTATGACAGCGTTTGGACTTAATCTATTGAAAAGGAGCTATAGGCAATTCTCCCGTAAAGGAGTAGAATTGTAGTTATAAACATTGTAGCTCACCTATTTTATAAAAAAAATTCAAACCACTAATGCGAAATGAAAATTTAAGTGTTTCTTATTTTTATTTTTTTAAAAATTTAAGTGTTAAGTTATTTAATGTAAGTGCATTTACATTTTTTTGTATTTCCTCTTCCGAGGCACACAATAGTTATTAGCGAAACAATATTTTCCTGAGGAAGTTTAAAAGAGATTTCTTTGAAGTAGATGAAAATAGCGTCGAACCGTAATTATCACATGAATGCACTTCTCACAATTCATCCATTATTCATTACTTCATTTAATTAAGCCACTTTTTCTTACAAATGGAGATGATTCATTTCGTTGAATACGAGTCTTTTAACTTCAGGTCGTTTTGCAGACTTGCATTACCGCGGAACTACTCTCAAATATGTTGTGTTTGTTAAATAAAAATAGTTATTATCGTAAGTTAACGCACAAAATTTCATCTTTCTTCACTCAAAAGACCACTTGCATACTTTTAAAAATCCTATGATTCCATGCATTATACCTTAATAATTTTAACACTTAAATTGTGAGGTACAAGAGACCATTGGAATATCCCAATAGTTTTGGATATATAATTTTGATATTTCGGATGTATT